AGAGGAAAAGCACGACATCGAACATGGAAGAGGTATGGAATATAGGGAGGAAAAGCACGACATCGAGCATGAGAGAGGTATGGAATATATAGAGGAAAAGCACGACATCGAACATGGAAGAGGTATGGAATATAGGGAGGAAAAGCACGACATCGAGCATAAGAGAGGTATGGAATATAGAGAGGGAAAGCACGACATCGAACATGAAAGAGGTATGGAATATAGAGAGGAAAAGCACGACATCGAACATGGAAGAGGGATGGAATATAGGGAGGAAAAGCACGACATCGAGCATGAGAGAGGAATGGAATATAGAGAGGAAAAGCACGACATCGAACATGAGAGAGGAACGGAATATAGAGAGGAAAAGCACGACATCGAACATGAAAGAAGTTTGGAATATAGAGAGGTAAAGCACGACATCGAACATGAGAGAGGAATGGAATATAGAGAGGAAAAGCACGGCATCGAACATGAAAGAGGTATGGAATAAAGAGAGGAAAAGCACGACATCGAACATGGGAGAGGTATGGAATATAGGGAGGAAAAGCACGACATCGAGCATGAGAGAGGAATGGAATATAGAGAGGAAAAGCACGGCATCGAACATGAAAGAGGTATGGAATATAGAGAGGTAAAGCACGACATCGAACATGAGAGAGGAATGGAATATAGAGAGGAAAAGCCATAAAGTTTAACAATTAGTACAGAAAACAAAGAAAAAGTATGGATCATGTTACAGTGGAGGTGCGAAAAAAAGATTTGGAAATAACGCAAGATCGAAAAGTTGGATATATGATTTTTGTGTGTGACAAAAGCACACATACTTCCAGATTTCTTCAGTAGTGCTTCACGCATACACTGATGAGTCATAGAAAAAGCTGTTTGATAAAGTGTAAATAATTATTGGCATACTGTATATATAACCTGCTGGTGATGTTTTAGTCCCCGAGGTTTGTTGGTAGACTCTGCTGGTGATGTTTTAGTCCCCGAGGTTTGTTGGTAGACTCTGCTGGTGATGTTTTAGTCCCCGAGGTTTGTTGGTAGACTCTGCTGGTGATGTTTTAGTCCCCGAGGTTTGTTGGTAGACTCTGCTGGTGATGTTTTAGTCCCCGAGGTTTGTTGGTAGACTCTGCTGGTGATGTTTTAGTCCCCGAGGTTTGTTGGTAGACTCTGCTGGTGATGTTTTAGTCCCCGAGGTTTGTTGGTAGACTCTGCTGGTGATGTTTTAGTCCCCGAGGTTTGTTGGTAGACTCTGCTGGTGATGTTTTAGTCCCCGAGGTTTGTTGGTAGACTCTGCTGGTGATGTTTTAGTCCCCGAGGTTTGTTGGTAGACTCTGCTGGTGATGTTTTAGTCCCCGAGGTTTGTTGGTAGACTCTGCTGGTGATGTTTTAGTCCCCGAGGTTTGTTGGTAGACTCTGCTGGTGATGTTTTAGTCCCCGAGGTTTGTTGGTAGACTCTGCTGGTGATGTTTTAGTCCCCGAGGTTTGTTGGTAGACTCTGCTGGTGATGTTTTAGTCCCCGAGGTTTGTTGGTAGACTCTGCTGGTGATGTTTTAGTCCCCGAGGTTTGTTGGTAGACTCTGCTGGTGATGTTTTAGTCCCCGAGGTTTGTTGGTAGACTCTGCTGGTGATGTTTTAGTCCCCGAGGTTTGTTGGTAGACTCTGCTGGTGATGTTTTAGTCCCCGAGGTTTGTTGGTAGACTCTGCTGGTGATGTTTTAGTCCCCGAGGTTTGTTGGTAGACTCTGCTGGTGATGTTTTAGTCCCCGAGGTTTGTTGGTAGACTCTGCTGGTGATGTTTTAGTCCCCGAGGTTTGTTGGTAGACTCTGCTGGTGATGTTTTAGTCCCCGAGGTTTGTTGGTAGACTCTGCTGGTGATGTTTTAGTCCCCGAGGTTTGTTGGTAGACTCTGCTGGTGATGTTTTAGTCCCCGAGGTTTGTTGGTAGACTCTGCTGGTGATGTTTTAGTCCCCGAGGTTTGTTGGTAGACTCTGCTGGTGATGTTTTAGTCCCCGAGGTTTGTTGGTAGACTCTGCTGGTGATGTTTTAGTCCCCGAGGTTTGTTGGTAGACTCTGCTGGTGATGTTTTAGTCCCCGAGGTTTGTTGGTAGACTCTGCTGGTGATGTTTTAGTCCCCGAGGTTTGTTGGTAGACTCTGCTGGTGATGTTTTAGTCCCCGAGGTTTGTTGGTAGACTCTGCTGGTGATGTTTTAGTCCCCGAGGTTTGTTGGTAGACTCTGCTGGTGATGTTTTAGTCCCCGAGGTTTGTTGGTAGACTCTGCTGGTGATGTTTTAGTCCCCGAGGTTTGTTGGTAGACTCTGCTGGTGATGTTTTAGTCCCCGAGGTTTGTTGGTAGACTCTGCTGGTGATGTTTTAGTCCCCGAGGTTTGTTGGTAGACTCTGCTGGTGATGTTTTAGTCCCCGAGGTTTGTTGGTAGACTCTGCTGGTGATGTTTTAGTCCCCGAGGTTTGTTGGTAGACTCTGCTGGTGATGTTTTAGTCCCCGAGGTTTGTTGGTAGACTCTGCTGGTGATGTTTTAGTCCCCGAAGTTTGTTGGTAGACTCTGCTGGTGATGTTGTAGTCCCCGAGGTTTTCTGTAACCTTGATATACACACTAGATTATCTAACGTCTGAATACAATTCTATGTTTTAAGATATTATGGAAACTCTTGGGTGCCCACTTCTCCTATAACATAAGAGGCCGCTGGTCGGCCTTTTTTTCTATCGGATATGATTTTGCCGACTGTGAGAACGTACCATTACGCGGCGCCTGTCAAAAGTTTTTCGCCGTGTAAAATCTCTAACATTGTTGGAGTAGGCCTAGGTGCCCACCATGTTCCAACCGGCACTGTATTCGCTTTCACTCTCGAATTTACGAACATTCCAAGAGGATTCTACGCTAAAACTGTTCCCGATAGCATTTGGACACTGTCAATGAGACCTCAGTTTATTGATGCAGATTCCCGCCACAACTCTGTTCCATACAAGCAACGTTTCATGTGAATTTAATGCCCTAGCTAAAAATGTCACAGGGCATGCTGATTAGCGTCGGTCTGAATAGGAACGATTCTGATAATCTTAAATCTACTGGGAACTACATTACCTTTTTATTTGTACTACGCAGTAATTGAAAGAAACATTCTGCAAAATGTTGCTTAAAGTAGAGCATTAAGTGTATAACAATTCTCCAGTATATGCAAACTAAACTCATACAGTGGTGACTACATTTTGTTTTACTACCGAGTAGTTCGGTTGCTCTAGTGTCATGTATTCAGTTTCACAAGGGGAGATAATTTCATATTCTGAGGCAGTTTATCACAACGAAATTGAATCACGCCCGGCGTTCATTCGTGATCAAGTGACACCAGCTATTTCAATGCCCAATTTTGCCCCCCCCCCCC